TAACAGTTCCGAAGCATACACATTCCGAATATAAGTAACATCATTGAATTTAATAGCAAATACAAGCTTATCTTATCAAAAAGTCCACTTAAAATGTGATTTAAGAGATCCTTTGCTTGCTTTGCAAATCACATCTGCCCTATGAACCACTGGCACCAGTGGCTGTTCAACAGAGGGTTCATCTAGCATAAATACGCACTCGATCAGATTTTGAATCCCTTTGGGAGTTCAACCCGGATGAGAATACTTTTTGGGAAGCAAGGCAACATGAAATTTAATGGCATGGTGTGGTCCACTCATATCAGTATAAAAAAATTTAACTATCAGCCTATTATTTTATTAAAAGTAGTAGGTTGAATACTGTTCATGAATTCCAGTGCTATCGTGAGGACTTTTCATAGGATTGTAGGAAAAACTCCACTTGGATCCCCTATGCAGCCTAGGGTGACTGAATTCTTATCAATCTGAATGCAAGAGCACATTTCACTTTAGCAAAGGTAGAAAGCAGATTTATAGCACGCCTCGCCTCTCTATAATCACCGATTAAGCGTTTGGCCGAAAAAGAGTCTCACCTGTTTGAGCACAATCGCGTATCGAAACAGACCCTCCGCCTGATCAGCCGTGTGCAGAAGTTGAGCCGGGACTCGGTATCCGAGACTCGTTAAAAGGCGAACTTGTCGCGACAGACGCAACAGGCCCTCTGGAAAACCAACTTGCAATTTGCCAGTCCCAGGACTCGAGGTGCCGCCAGATCCACCGTCTCCACAAGACGTATCGAGGTGAAGAAGTCGACCATGTGGGTCGAAGGCCAGTGCAGCCGAATTGTGCCTGGTCGGTGAGGCTGTCAGGGTACCGGCCAAGTAGCCTCGTCCGTCTCCAAGGCCGCCTCGTTGGCTCGACTTTGAGGCAGTAGACAATGTCGACGCAGCGTCCACAGTTGCATCCGATAGGCCAGCAAGACAGGCGCGAGACCAAGTGTCGAAAGCCTCCGTGCGCCAGCTGGCCAGATCACCCGCCAAATTGACGGCCTCCTTAACAAAAAAATTATTACATATAAACGTTATTTATTCGAATAAATGTTGTGTTTTGAGGAAGATTTTTGTTTATCATTGTTGAACTCACTTGCATTTTAAAGTAAAATTTGAGATAAAGAGGTAATTCAATTGATCTTATCAAAAGACGATGACACGGATCCTCCAGTTCCCATGAAAAAGGGCTAAAGATTCGTATGTAAAAATCATCCGGGTATCACCTTAAAAACTAGTTCAAGCTAATTTTTTTTTTTCGATTTGAGTATGATTTCAAATAATAGCCTAATTCACAATCGTTCGCTTAAGATGATAAAGGAGTATGATAGTGAATTTTCCCACAGTGAGATAAGTAAGTCTCATGATGCTATTAAATTTGACATCCAGGATGGACTTGACCTCAGTTTCGACCTCGATTAAGTCTCATCAGATGCCAGACGAAAATCGAACCTGGCTAATGCAGAATGTAAATTTCGACATGTTACCACCAATTATTCAAGAATTCCTTATAGTTTTGAAATCTACATCTTTTCTGTCCTGATCCACTTGGCTGGGTTATAAAGAGAAATAGAGCCAAATCTGATGTTAACCGAGAGTTAAGATGGCATCATGAGGCCTACTCATCTAATTGTGGGAAGGTGCACGAGTAGGCAAGCTTATCTCTAATATGAGAAGTATTGACCCTATTTCGCTTAAGGTGATGAAGGACTGGTAGTAGAGTGCTTCCACAATGATATGAGTAGAGCTGACGCTTCCATTGAATTTCAAATTGCCTTGCTTTCCCAAAAGTTGTTCTCATCTAGGCACCAGTGGACTACAGCTTTGACCTCGCATCGGTCTTATCAAGACCCCCAGCGGGAGTCAAACCATGACAGTGCAGAATGGAAGCTTGCCACGTTAACCACTCGACAAAATTTTCACGAGCGCCCTTGGGTCACAGGGCAGATGTGGATTTCAAGGAAGGTCAGGCCTTTTGCCATATTATATTCTTTGGTGGGATTGTCGATGAAGCAAACGTATATTTGCTATAATAATAACTACGCTACTTATTTTCGTATTTGAGTAGAGTGTCGAGACTATCAGTAAATCAGTAATATGAGAAGTATTCACCCTATTTCATTGAAAGTGATGAAGAACTAGTAGTAGAATTTTTCCACAATGATATGAGTAGAGCTGACTTTTCCACGGTTCGGTTCCCACTGAGGGTGTTGAAAAGACCGATGCGAGGTCGAAACTGCAGTCCACTGCAGTCTGGATGAGAAAAACTTTTGGGAAAGCAAGGCAATGTGAAATTCAATGGAAGCGTCAGCTCTATTCATATGATTGTGATAAAATTCTACTACCAGTCCTTCATCACTTAAA